ACACACCACACAAACGCACCCCCACCCCCCACCCCCTCAGACAGACACACGCACACAGTCAGACACACGCTCACACACAGGCACACTCGTACCCCCCCCAGCCGCCCTTACACACCACACAAACGCATCCAGCCCCCACCCCGCACGCACGGACACGTTCTCTCTCTCTCTCTTTCCCGCACGCTCTTTCACACACACGCGCTCTCACGCGCTCTCATGCGCTCTCACACACACACTCTCTCTCTCACACGCTCTCACACCCTCTCACTCTCACCCGCTCTCTCACACACACACCCGCTGACACACACACACACTCACACACACACGTGCGCTCTCACACACACATACTCTCTCTCTCACACGCTCTCTCACACGCGCGCCCTCTCACACACGCGCTCTCTCGCTCTCACACCCTCTCACTCTCACTCGCTCTCTCACACACACACTCGCTGACACACACACACACTCACACACACACGTGCGCTCTCTCACACGCGCGCCCTCTCACACACGCGCTCTCTTGCTCTCACACCCTCTCACTCTCACTCGCTCTCTCACACACACACTCGCTGACACACACACACACTCACACACACACGTGCGCTCTCTCACACACACTCTCTCTCTCACACGCTCTCACACACGCGCTCGCTCTCTCGCGCTCTCTTTCACACACTCACCGCCGGTCCCTGCCGCCCCCTGCCGGGCCAGAGGCCCCGCTCCCGCACGGCTCTTCCGTGCTGTCCCGGGCGGTACCGGGGCTGTACCAGCGTGTACCGGGGCTGTGCAGGGGTGTACCGGGGCTGTACAGGGCGTCCCCCCCTCCCGGGGACGGCGAGAGAGCAGCCTGGGGTCCAGCGGGGTGGGTGCTGCCCGTCCCCGGGAAGGAGCGGGGCCCCGGCAGATGCTGGTGTGGAAGGACCCCCGCGGGGCTGGGGGAGCCCGGGGAGGCCGTCAGCTCCCTGCCAGCCCAGTGCAGCCCAGCGCAGCCTGGATCAGCCTAGTGTAGCCTGGTTCAGCTCGGTGCATCCCGCGGCATCACAGTGCAGCCTGGTGCTGCTCAGTCCATCCCGCTGTAGCTCTGGTCCAGACCTGACTCCCTTACAAGCCTCGGGAGCACCCAGGTCCCACACATGATCTCGTTCCCCCTGGCCTCCTGCCTGCCCTCCTGCCCTGTCCTGTTCCTGAGCCTCTGCCTGTCACCCAGCTCCTCTCTCCCCATGTGCAAATGGGAGAGACTTGCAGCCAGCCCCCGCAGCTCAGGTGCTGCTGTGGAGGGGACATTGGAGCTCTCCCCGTTCCTGCCCATGAGTGGGACACAAGGAGGGGGCATGAAGTCCCTGTGACAGCCCACCCCCGCCACTGCTGGCATGCAGCCCCCTGGGTGGCCCCCAGCTCCCCGCTAGTGGACAAACACAGGGGTGTTGCGGTGAGGGGCTGGCAAAGGCAGGTCATCGGCAGCGGCAGGAGCTGGGCAGTCTTTGAGAGACCCCTGTGTGCACATGAGGGTGCAGGTGCTGCTAGGTGTGCACACAGGTGGAGGCAGGGGTGCTGAGCACAGCTGTCACTCCACACACTGTTCCCAGCCACCCACCACTGACGAGGCCACGTTACACCTGGCACTGAGGAGGGAAACACCTCCCTGCAAAGGCATTAATGACAGCCCCACGTGGTCCCCAGACCAAACCCTCCACCCCCATGGTGCTGATAAAGGACGTTTCCAGCCTGCTCTGGGGTGTGGTGACTTGGTTTGGGACAGGGGGCAGAGACTGGGACCCTGCAGGTCCCTGCCCCTGCGAACAGCAGTGGCTGGAGGAGGACGGAGGTGAGTGACCACCCCCAGGGCTTTTCTTCCCACATGGTTGGCATCACTCAAACAGCTCCATGGCTTCACCTGGTCCCATCCCAGAGCTCTGTGGTGTGTGGGGGTGACACCACTGAGCAGCAGGAGCCAGCGCAGGGCAGTGGTGAGCTGGGTGTTCCTGCCAGAGCCACTGGGACTGGGGGGCTGGTGACCCTGTGGGTTGCCCAATGCTGTGGCGAGAGCCCATTCCAAGAGGACAGGGGGCAAGGCTGATGGCACGGGCATGACAGGACAGTGCACAGGTGCCAACACAGCTCTCCAGCATGCCCAGTCCGTACCGTGTGGCTGTGAGGGACAAGCAGCAAGCTGGGCACCCATGCAGCACAGGATGGTGGGATGGGTAAGTTCCAGGGCACCTCATGCTGGTACAGCATCATGGGGATGATCAGGATATGGCCTGTCTGTTGACCTGCAAGGATGTGAGGAGCTGACATTTCTCTGCCTTTGTCCCCGGGGGCCATGTTTGCAAGGACACCTGGGTTCGGGGGGGACTTCCCACCCTGAGCTGCCAGTTTTTCTGAGGCTGGACCCTTCCCCATCGAAGCTCCAGGAGGAGATGGGCAGTGGCCGTGCCGTGGTGTTGCTGGCCATATCTTCTTACTCCCTTGTGCCAGCTGTGCCAGAAGCCAGATCAGTCCCCCAATTCAGCTAGAAATCAACTCAAAAAAGACCCCCAGATGCTAGTTTGGGGCAAATCAGGCCCTGTGCAGCCCCAGACCCCAGGAGAGGGTGCAGAGGCATTGCCCCATCACCACAGTATGTCCCCACCATAGTGTCACCCTTCATGTTTGGAGTACCCAGTGAGCACCCACCTGCCTTGGAAAGTGGCACACGCAGCCCTGCACCTCACTAAAGGGACCAGGAAACCATCACCATTCACCTTGTAACTAATGAAGCACGTCCTTGACATCCCCCTGGCAGAGCAGATGCCAGAGCCTCATTGGCAACCACCCTGCGCCCCTTCCTCAGGAGCAGGTGGATGTGTTTCTGGGTGTGTGTACATCCTGCCCCAGGGCAGTGAAGCAAGAGCAAGGGATGCAGCGGCTGCCCCTACGCCATCCCTGCTGATTGCTGCATCCCCTCGGGGGAAAGCTGTCTGCGCTGCCATGTCTGCTGTACAAGATGGGCTCTCCGGTGCTCAGGCTGCAGCTGGAGCTCAGCAACAGCCATTTCCCTTTTATTAAGTTAACAAATAAATGCCCTGCTGGAGAGCAGGCAAGCTCTATTGATTCAGCACCTCCCCTGGGACCCATCAGTTTGCGGCATTTTAATATATATTAGGCAACGAAGAGCCCTGTGTTGCCCAGTTCGGCTGGGCTGGGGGCCCTCTGGAGCAAGATCCCAGCAAAGTGATGGCCTGGAGAGATGGGGCTGCCCCCGTTGCTCAGCACCCAGACCCGGCCTGGGGCACTGAGGTCTGTAAAGCAAAATGCCTGGGCAGACCCATTCCCGGAGAGGAATAACCTCAGCTGCTACTTGATACCAGGCAGCAGTGGACAGTGCACAGGCAGCGCTGGGCAGCGCTGGCACGGGCATGCAGCAGGCACTGTGCTCCCCGTGCTCTCCTTGCTGTGGTATCTCTGGCCTGTCCAGAGCAATGGGGATGTCTGTGGGCTGGATGAGACCCTCCTGCGGGCCAGGCTGAGTGGTGGGTGCCCGAGCCCAAGAGCGGTGCTTGGAGATACCTGAAGTGACAGAAATCACACCGCAGTGGCCAATTCTCTTGGTTAGACCCAGGGCTGCTGCACTGACCTGGACATGCTCTCATGCCTCTACCTCATCCCCAGTTTCTTTCCCAGCTGGGAGAGTGAGCCAAGAAGCCCCCAGGCCTCACTGGCGCAAAGCCTGTGACTGCCTGCTGCCCCAGCCCAAGGTAGATCTGCCCAAGCCACTTGTCCTCCTCCCCACAGGACAGGCTTGGCTGCAAGCAGGAGGAATAGGCTCCAGCAGAGATGTAAGGATGCTGGGTCCAGCTGCTGGGATACCAGGAGACCCCCAGAGCATGGCACCCTCAAAATGGCTGGTTAAGGCATGAGCACTTGGGAGCAGGGGCAGACCTCCCTCAGCATGGGGACTGAAGGCTGCCAGCTCTGGCTAAATGTGGTCTCACATTTGCAGCCCCCTCCCCAGGCTGGGCTAGGCAGCGAGCAGCCATGGGCACAGGCTGTGCAGGCAGGGTGGCAGAGGAAGGAGGGGACAGGGGGATCCACAGTCACACAGCAGGAACACTTTAATGACCTGTCCAACTCTTGCAAGACCCTGCTGGCACAGCATTGTCCTGTCCTGCACCAGGATCCTGGAGACCCGGCCCAAAAATCCTCCTGCAGCTGGACAGAGCCCACCAGGACCCCAGGCAGAGAGGGGGAGCAGTGCAGAGCAGTAACCCCCTGCAAGCTCCTGATGGGACCGTGCCCGCTGGGCTGCATTGGCAGGTGGCTCACAGGCGAGTGGCAGTGATGGTCTTTTGGGAGGGGGCTGTGCTGAGCCCTGGGGAGCTGGCTGGTGATGCGGCCAAGGTGTCCTGGGGGGCAGAGCCAGTTTTTGTGCCCTGCAGTTTTTCTCTTCCCTTTAGCAGCACCACAGCTGCTTTCTCCACTTCATCCATCTCCAGCTGGCTGCTGGCTGCCATCTCGTCCCTGGTCACTGCTACGAAGGATGGGTCATGGGCCAGAGCCGCAAGGCCCCCGGAGATCAGAGCCTGCAGCAGAGGATGGGGTCACAGCCCAATGTGTGCTCAGTCTGTAGAAGTGTCCCTGGCCACAGGCAGCCCACCCTCACCTCCTTTTCCCTGCTGCCTTCTGCTCTGGCACATACCTGCTGCTCACCCTCACAGCTAAGCTTTGCCCTCCAACCTTCCAACCTGGCATGAGCATGGCACCCCTGCCAGCCCCTTTCACTCCCTGGCAGCCCTGCCTTTCCCTCTGCCAGGCTATGCCCCTGCCTTACCTCCTGAATGAGAAAGGTGATGGCCGGGGTGGAGGATGTGCTTGGGTCACTGCTTTCACCCCACTGGTACCCTGAGCCGGACGCCGTCCCTGTCACAGTGCCATCCTCTCCAGGCAGCTGGGCAAAAGGAGCAAAGAGCTGCAGCCTGGGCTTGGACAATGCCCACGGAAGATCTCTCCCATGTTAATGTGGGGGCTGCAGGTACTGTCCCCAGCCTGGACACACACTTCCATTCTGCTAGAGCTCCTGGGTCCAGGGCATCACCCACAATGGGACCAGCAGGGCCATGTGGGCAGAGAGAGCTGGGAACCAGCCCTTACCTCCTGCCCTGGCACTTGCCAGGTTATGAGGCACTGTGGCCAGCCAAGGGCAGCTGGGGCAGTGTGGCAGCAAACCTGATGCACCCCTTTTTTCTGCCCTGGCTCTGGAGGTGACCGGGGAGTCAGAGAGATGCTGCTTTGAGCTGTCCCAGCTTGGATGAGCACCCCATGCCTGCTGCAGCAGCAGGGTGGGGACCCGGGCTCCTTCCCTGAGCTGATCAGATAGGAAAGCTCCAGCAAAGCTGGGTTCATGGTGGGGAGCCCTAGAGACCGGCTCCTCCCCAGCATGGCTGTGACAGCCTTTCCCAGGAGGCGAGGGAGGTTCACCCACGTCCTCCACATTGCTGACTCTGGACATACATTGCCCCCTTTACCTCCTGGGGGAGAAGATGCAGCCCTGATGATGGGTGACCCCCAGAGGTGGCCCCTCGCATCCTGCTTGGCCTCCGTTGCAGCCTCTCCATGGATAAGGGGTGGTTGCACTCTGGGAGAGGGAAAGGTGGGGACATCAGATGGGCACAAGAGCAAGGACACTACTGCCACCCCAAGCTGAGAACGGGTTAACTAGACTGGGGGAACCAAAGGGTTTAGGGGTTCAGGACCAATCGAAGTCCCAGTGCCTGCCCACTGCCCTGTGCTGGCTCCTCACTCATGGCTGGGAAGGATAAGTCCCCATTTGTGGAAATGAACACGGTCTTGTGGCCCTGCTGCCTGGGCATGGCCAGTCCTCCCCCAGCCCGAGGCACTGGCTCCATGCTCCATCACCCTGGAGGGTGGGAAGGTGGGAGGAGGGTCTCCTGGAGTTCTCCAGACAGGTCCTTCTGTGCTTGGGGAAGCCTCCTCCTCCTGCCTGCCAACATCAGCCCCTTTCCCCTACCCTGGCCTTTGGGCTGGTCCAGATCCCCCAGAAGAGGAACGATGCCAAGACTCACCCCGCACTGGACGCCTGGGTGCTGCTGGCACCGTCTTCCTCAGCACCTCGTCCTCGTACTCCATCCTGGCAAGGGCAGGCAGGTGGATCAGCCTGAGCAGGGACCACACGCCGAGACCAGCTCTACCCAAGGGTGCAGCCCTCCCCACCTTCTCCACCCTGGGGAATGCAGCCTGGGGGGCAGACCTGGGACGGATGAACAGGCTGGAGACCCCAAGAAGTAGGATTAAGTATATCCTCTTACATTGGTAACCCTTGTCCCTTGTACCCGTGCCCAAGCAGGTGCTGGTGGCCCCTACCTGGGCCTTGGCACTCAGAGATTGGTGAGGAAGGGGGAAGGGTCTTTCCTGCAGTCCCTGGAGCCCTGCTGTCCACCTTGATCCTCACGGCACAGAGATGAAGGAGTGATGGGAAGGACAAGAAGGGCGCATAGGGAGTCACACACGCTGACGTGCAGAGCCACATACCAGCCCTGGAGCTACCCTGCATGTTCTGGGGACATCTCTGGGAGTGCCAGGCTGGGGCCTGGGGACCAGCAAGGGGTGTCTGCCCTCCCTGTCCCCTTGCCTGGGCCCTGCCTCACACCCCAAGGACCAAATTTCTGCACAAAGCTCCTGTGTCCATGGAGCCACTTCCATGGCCAGCGCTCGATTCCTCCCCCCATCCACAGGGACCTCGCTGCTGCAACTCAGCCACTTCTCCAAACCTTACCCATCCATGAAGAGCCCCTGGGCAAGACCGACGTGCAGCCAGCCACCAGCACAGCCTCACTGGGAGCCACCAAGCATGGCCCAGCTCTGCCCCTCCTCATCTGCCCACTCAAGGCTCACCAGCCCTTACCCCTCCAGCCAGTCATTGCTGTTGGCATTGTTGACATTGGTGTTGCCTTCCTGGGGTAAGTCATCAAGGAAGACGGGGGAGTCGAGGTTCTCGCTGCCCATCTCCACAAACTGCAGGGGCCTCTGGCTGGCCACGTGGGGCTGCAGGGGGCTGCTGGGTTCCAGGAAGCTGTCAACCTGGCCAAACAAGCCACCCGTCCTCTGCAACCAACAGGGAGGGTATCAGGGGAGGCCTGGAGCTCTGGGCTGCTCTGGGGCCATTCCCATGGGAGGAGACATGTGAGGGTGCCCGTGGGAACAGCGGTCTCTCTGCTTGTCTCTCCTCGGGCCTTGCAGACTGCACAGTTTCAAAAGCCTCACTGCCCAGGTGGGGAAACTGAGGCACTGAGGGGTGATGGTCACGCAGCAGCACTGGGACGAGAGCCAGGCCTATGCATGACAAATCCTGCTACCTCTGTGGGACAGCCTGAGCTGGTGGCACCCCTGGACATGGCAGTAGGTGCAACCCTGCAACACCACAGCTGCCCAGGCTGTCTCACAGACTCCTAGGGAGTGGGAAGTGAATCTGTTCCTGCTCTGGTGATAATGACACTTGAGCTGTCCTGCCCTAGCCTGGCAGAAGGTGTGAATGGGGCCCTCCAAACCTGTGGGTAAACATTCAGCACACCCCTGCCAGGCAGATGAGCAGGGTCCTTTTACAGAGGGGAAACTGAGGCAGAGAGCAGGTTGCCCAGGATGACTCAACGAGGATGTCCCGACGCTCAGGGAGAGGAAAGAAGTGCTGATCCATCCTTGTGGTCCACACTGTCTTTCATGGTCAGGCTCACCTCTGTGGACTGTCCTCCAGCTGCTGGTAGCCATGCTGACCCACCACCAACACATCGAAATGGGGGGCTGGGTGGGACCACCACCACCTGGGGTGCCCTGAGGGCTGCACTCACCCTGTATATCCCTTCCTCCATGGCAGCCTCCACCATTGCTCTTTCCAGCTCCTCCTCAGCAGTCAGGTCCCCAGAAATGGCACGATGGATTTCAGGAGCAGCTTCTTCTTCAATGCTCCTCAGCCCAGCCTGGTGGGGACAAGAAGGCATGGCTGGATGTGGCCTGGCCCCGCCACCCATCTCACTTTGGGCTTTGGAGAGGGAAACATGATGAAGCATGCTCACCTGGTAAGCCATGCTGCCCTGCCAGGTCTCCTACCACGGACAGGCCATGGGTCGCTCTGCAGCTGGCTGGCTCTGTGCTTGGTGAAACAGCTTCTGGGCTAATGCTGTCCCACAAAGGGGCATGCTAAGGGCAGCCTGACGAAGGGTCAGGCTGGTGATGCCCAAGGGGTAGCTGTGCCTTTGTCCCTGATCTAGAGATATCTGATCTGGGGCCTGGCTCTTTTCCTTGCCTTGCACCTTTGGGGCCTGGTCTTTTATCTCTATAAGTTATTTCCTCCCTATAAGGTCAGGAGAGGCTGGGGACATCCCATCTGCTCTGACCAAGCACATAAATCCTCTCCCATCCACATCAACCCCTCTCCATCTGGTGTTGCATTAGGCAATGAGAGATGATACAGAGACCACCAGGCACACAGAACTATCCCCAACACTGCTAAGGTGAGGAAAGGGAGAAGGTCCTGGGAATGGAGAAGAGTAGGTGGATAAGGGCCTGCATGAGCAGCATTCGGCCCAGACATTGGTCTATAGTGGGAGTTTCCAGATCTTAAAGCTGCTTGGTGAGGCATCAGACCCTGCTGAGCCCTCTCTGCGGCCGAAGTCAGCAGGGCAGAGAGTCAAAAATCTCCTTTGCTTCCAGAGTCACCTGCACACTGGAGACTAAGGTCACCCTCAGCGGTGGAGTGCTCATGGCCAGTTCAATGCTGGTTCACGTGGGGCCACTTCATTTCCAAAGCCTGAGGCACAGAGGTCCCTATGTGTCATTGCAGCTCTGTCTCTCTAAGTCACCTTGGACTCTCCTGAGCTGGGGGAAGCCTCTTCCCTGATCTGCAGAGCTCCCCACCACACCCTGCCTGTCCCCAGGAAGGGTCACCCCTCCAACACCACCCACATGCTACCAACCTGGATCTCCACAGGGTTCTTCTTGGGCCGGTACCCGTAATACTCCTCCTGGCGCTTCATGAACTTCCTGAAATGCTCTTGGATGAGGAAAGTAGCATAGAATTTGCCTACTGTCACCTCATCATCTGGAGGGGAGGAAACCAACCTGATGATACCGCCTATCACAAGGCCCCGAGTTGTCAGAGCAGCTGAGACCTTGACCAGTTGTTGCTCTGCCCCTCTGGGAAGTACCACCAGGTGTCATACCTCCAATAGGTGGGATGACCTGGTCCAAAAGCTTCATACTCGTTCGCTTCCAGATTTTTTTGATAATGGCTCTGAGCTCCTCATTGGCCTGCTCAAAGTTACCTGTGAGAAAAGCGAGCAGGACAGTGGTTCATTCCCAGGGGAATGTGAACATGAGTGAAGACAAAGCATATGAAAACCTGGTGTGCCGGTTTTGGCTGGGATAGAGTCAATTTTCTCCACAGTAGCTAGCATGAGGCTCTGTTTTGGATTTGTGCTGAAAAGAGTGCTGATAACACAGGGATGTTTTAGTTACTGCTGAGCAGTGCTGACACAGCGTCAAGGCCTTTGCTGCTTCTCACCCCACCCCACCAGCGAGCAGGCTGGGGGGGCACAAGAAGTTGGGAGGGGACACGGCTGGGATGGCTGACCCCAACTGACCCAAGGGATATTCCACACCGTATGACGTCATGCTCAGCACATAAAGCTGGGGGAAGAAGAAGGAAGGGGAGGACGTTCGGAGCGATGGTGTTTGTCTTCCCAAGTAAACGTTACGCGTGATGGAGCCCTGCTTTCCTGGAGATGGCTGAACACCTGCCTGCCCATGGGAAGGAGCGAATGAATGCCTTGTTTTGCTTTGCTTGTGAGCACAGCTTTTGCTTTACCTGTTAAACTGTCTTTACCTCAACCCATGAGGTTTCTCACTTTTACTCTTCTGATTCTCTCCCCCATCCCACCGGGGGGGAGTGAGCGAGCGGCTGTGTGGGGCTTAGTTGCCAGTTGGGGTTAAACCACGTCACCTGGCCAGACTCCTCCAGGGTGTGACAGCTCCTCTCCAGTCTCCCCATCCAGCAAAAATGAGCTTTGTAAGAATGAGGCTCTGATTTTAGCAAAAAGACTTTAACCATAGAGTGAGTCAGACCTAGCGTTAGTGCCACCAGTGCCTGGTGATCAACAACAGATTTCGACCTCCCCTTTGATGCTTTCACAGGCTTTGCCATTCCTGCTCGCCTGCAACCTCAGTCTGTCCTCATGCATGCTCCGAGATCTCCTGTGCTCCTCCCAGGGCTGCCTGCACTGTGCTGAAGGCCATGTTCCCCTCCCCAGCTGGAGGGAAGGCACCCGTGCGGTGCTGCTGGAAGATGCTGGCCCCAGTGGCCCACCACTGCCCAGCCTCATCTCCTGCTAGAGCTGGCTGCCCCAGCCCAGCTGCAGAGCTGCTCATGTGATACTGCCTAACCCACAGGCATGGAAACAAGCTGGTGTGGCATCTTCCCAAAGCAGGGCTTTGCAAACCATTCTGCTGGCAAGGAAGGGGGTGAAAGCAACTCCTCCCCAGCACAGCTAAATTCAGAGAGGATCCATCCCCCTTCCATTCCAGTCTGAGATTATAAATGCATGGGGAAATGCAAAACTGGAGCAGGCGGTGTTATGCTGGGGGCAGGGGGAGATCAGACTACACTCAACAGTGCAGGAAGGGAGGCCGGTGGCTGTGCATCGTGGCAGGTATGGGAACTGGGTCAGAACTGCTCCTGAGCTCTTCAGGGTGAAGTTACGCAGCTGGGGTGGCATTGGTTCACTCTTCAGGGCTGCAACACATGTGCCTGCAACAAATAATGTTCTCCAGGCTTGGCCTGAGCAGCCCCATGCACGTGCCCATAGTCTCCGGTCCAATGAGATAATTAATGGCATGAAGCCGAGGGTTGCCCCAGAGGGTCTAGCCCCATAGGCAAGTGCTCTGAGGTCCCTGGACAGAGTGGGAGAACGGTGTGTAACCAGCACCCTGCAGCACAAGGAGAAGGTCCCCCAGTCAGGCCGTAGAGGCAGACAGGAGCATCGCTTACCTTCTGTCTTGATCTTGAGGGCTGTCCTCACCAGCGCAAAGAGGGTTGCATTGAAGGTGACGGTACCATCGCTGTTCAGGGGCATGTTCATGCACACTAGACGCTGCACAGCAAATCAACAACCGTGACCCCAGGCAGCAGAGCAGGCTGGCAGCTCCCCGCAAACACCCAGCCTGTCCTGGCTGGAGCGCAGCCATGCTGGCTGGGGAGAGGCTCTGCTCTGCACACTGAGCTGCCAGCCAAGGAGCCTTCCCAACTCTGCCCACTCTGCCCAGGCCCACGGGGCTCTGCACCACTGCTTGGCAGCACACATGGGCCAGGGGCAGCGACATCACTCATCCTAACCAGCCAGCTAAACCAGACAAAGCTGCGGGGAGAGCCACGTCAGATCTGTGGAAATAACCCAACCTATGGGGCATCGGTGCCATGGGAGAAAATCATAGAATCATAGAATCATTTAGGCTGGAAAAGACCTTTAAGATCATTGAGTCCAACCATAAACCTAACACTGCCAAGTCCACCACTAAACCATGTCCCCAAGTGCCACATCTACACGTCTTTTAAATACCTCCAGGGATGGTGACTCAACCACTTCCCTGGGCAGCCTGTTCCAATGCTTGATAACCCATTCAGTGAAGAAATTTTTTCCTAATATCCAATCTAAACCTCCCCTGGCACAACTTGAGGCCGTTTCCTCTTGTCCCATCACTTGTTACTTGGGAGAAGAGACTGACCCCCACCTCACTACAACCTCCCTTCAGGTAGTTGTAGAGAGCAATAATGTCTCCCCTGAGCCTCCTTTTCTCCAGGCTGAACAACCAGCCAGCAAGAGACACAGCAATGCTCTTAGGGAGATGGGAGTCATTCTGCATTGTGCTCCACCCTCCAAAAAGTGCCCCAGGCTGCCATGAGGGATCTGGGGATCAAGCCTCATAATGAGTTTGCCCAAGACCCACGAGGGTTTACACCAGTGCCTGAGCCCCTGCCCATGTGGTTGACACGTGAGCCTCACATAGGCCCTGGATTTGTGCAGAATGAGCTAAGCCAGGGAAAGTGTATTCATGCCTACAGAGCCGGTGTTTCCAGCTCCCTCAATGCTATCAGCCCTTGGAAACAAACTTCTACAGCCCAGTTGACGTGGCCAGGTACTCAAGCCCAGCATTGCCCTCCTGTACCAGATGCAGATGTGGGGCACCCACAGTGCTGCTTGGGAGTCCCTCTGCACTGAGGGCTCCAGGTCGGGCAGAGACCAGCCCACCAGTGCCATCCCCCTCGGTGTGGGGGTGAGCACAGGCAAGTCCTTATCTTCAGGACCCTGAAACACATCAGCTCCATGCAGGTTAACAGCATCTCTCCTTGCCCCCAGAATAATCCCCTCCATTAAACACCAGAGGTCAGAGCATGCACATAAAACATGACACTGGGAAGCCAGCTCGATTGTCCCCTCAGCCTCCCTGGGGAGGATGCAGAGACAGCTTGGGGAAGGTGCCCCTGTGCCCACACACCCTGCCACCCCCTTGGCTTTTACCTTACAAGCTACACGGTGTGGGCAGAATTTCCCGAAGCCCAGGGGAGGCTGGATACGTCTCAGCAGAGTCACTACATCCAAATGTTTGATCCTGCCCCTGTGGAGGCAACAAACTGCATCAGCAGTGTGGTGGCAGACATGGGGGACAGTGGTTCGGGCAGGGGCAGGGGCAGGGGCAGGGGCTGGATTCATCCTTGTGGCCTTGTGGCCTGCCCTGTGCTCCTGCAGTGGGCAAATCCCTACACTTCCCCATGCTCCTCTTGGGGAAAGCAGCTGTTCCCCGTGGCACTGGACAGCAGATAAAGGTGCACAGTGGCATGGGAAGAGTTGGCAGCATCACCAGGGCTGGATGAAGAGGGGACTGGAAGTCTTGTGTCCCCAAACATCCTGATGGCTTATATCAGCCCTGGAATACACTGGCAAGTCCACATCCACCTCTGAGATGCTGGGATCTAACTCTTAGACAGTGCCACAGCTCACACTGCCACGCGTGTCTCAGGGCAGCCCACCCCAGGCTCCCTATGGATCATCCCCTCTGTGCCACTCACCCCCTATCACTCACTTGGCCTCGGGGTCGTACTCAGCCCAGATCCGTTTGAACTCGTCCAGGTGATGGGGCCCAAGGATGGACCAGTCGCGTGTGAGGTAGTCAAAGTTGTCCATGATGACGGCCACAAAGAGGTTAATGATCTGAGGGCAGAGGAGCGCGTGTGAAGGATGCAAGTTAGGGCAGGGCCAAGCACTGAGCAGGTCTTCAGGCAGAGGGACAGCAACAGACCTCGCAGCTGGCAGCACGGAGCAGGGCAGTGCTGCCTGCGGGCCCTGGCCAGGGCCATGGGAAAACACAGGCAGGCGTGTTCGGGAGGAGAAGGGGCTTGGGTTCCCCTGAAGCCAGGGAATGCTGTGGATCACCCCATGCAGGGATGGGCCTCCCACCGAAGGAGATCACATGAAAGGCTGAAGCAGGCACAGGGCATCTCTTCTCTCCCCACCCTTGCAAGAGCCAACACAGACACATCTGGATGGCAGCACATGCGGGCTGTGGGAAGGAACTAACAGGGGATCCTGGGTCCCATAGGAGTGCGGTGCCAGGTTTACAGCATGGCTGCGTAGATGGGCTGGGGGACGATGCCCCTAGGAAGAGGGTGCTGTGGGCTCAGCCCCACGAGATGCAAGGCTAACTCAACACCAGGGGCTGCCCAGGGCCAGGACGGGGTTCCCAAAGGGAGTCCTGTGGGAGCCAGCATACCAGGAAGGCGCAGAGCATGTAGAAGCTGATGAAATAGAAGTAGGCAAAGCCTGTGCCGCAGGTGTACTCCTCGCCCTCGGCAAAGTCTGACTCAGGGTCGCACAGCTTGCCGTAGCTGCAGTCCAGCAGGATCTCCTGCCAGGCCTCGCCGGTTGCACACCTGGGGAGAGGGGATGCCTGCTGGTACCTGCCTGTCCTGGACATGAGCCGGGCACGCAGGGAGGGCTGTGGCCAGCCCAGCACACAGGGAAATGGGGAGCCACTGGGAAAGGGGCGGTCAGGATCCTGGGCTTGCTGTGTTGCTGTGGGGAGTCTGCTATTGAAAGCTCCAAAGTGAATTATTTGGAGTCAAGGAAAGCCTTGGGCTGAGCTCTTGCTTCCCCCCTTGAGTTTCCTCACAATTCACAAATTAAAATACAGTCTGGGAAGGAAACATTCAGAATAGAAACCCCAAAGTGTCCCTCTCTCCTGCAGCTCAGCCACACCAGGCAAACCAACAGCCACTCCTGAAATGCTTCCACTGCTGCAAGAGATTTTTCTGTAGGGCAAAAAAGAAATCAACTACAGAAATGCTGGTCTCCCTCACTCCAAGCTGGTGGGCTCCCACGCTGACTCTGAGCCCAGGTCCCTTCTGGAGCTGCTCGCTCGCCAAGACAAGACTGACCTGAAGAGCAGCAGCACAGCTTGTGGAAAGGTTTGGAAGTTGTTGTTTCGGTTGATCTGGGTCCCGTCCACCATGGCAATCTTCCCAAACATCTGTAAATCACATTGTCAGGTCCGCAGCACCCTTTCTCAGGCACTGACCACCCTCCAGAGCACCCCTGTCCCTGAGCTCCTCTTCTTCTTGTTTAGTTGGCTTTGGGTGTCCCCAAAAGAGACTGAGATAGGGGTGTGGGTGCTCTGGGGCTCATGAGCTCCTTGGATATTCCTGCCTATGCTGAAAATGCCCCTGTCTACTCTGCACTTCATCTGGGCCAAGGAGATAAGGTCTTATGAACCAGGCACAAGCACTAGTGACTTTGTGTCTAGGTTGTGCCATTGACTCCGAAAGTGCTATTTGCTGCATGCCTCAGTTTCCCTAGCTGCAGCCTGGGGATGGAAGGAGGCTGCTGGGGCTGTAAGCACCCTTGGAGACCAGGGTAAAATGGTCCCATCATGTGAAAAGTCCCAGGGAGTGCCTGGCAGTTCCTCTCCGTCCCATCTCCCCAGATGCTATCAGGCTCAGGGCATATGTTCAAGACCAAATCCCACCCCTGTGCCTCTCACCTGCATCCCGATCACAGCATAGATGAAAAAAAGCATCACAATCAGCAGGGCTACGTAGGGCAGAGCCTGTGACAAAAGGACCATGGCTCGTGTGAGACACCAGCCCAACATCAAGGCAACCCAGGGACAGGAGGTTGGGTCTGGAGCCACTGCATGAGGTCAACATCCAGGCCCCCAAGTGGGGAGGGGACAGCTTACTTTCTGCCTGTTCCTCTAACCATCCTCCCACTAGCCCCACTCTCCAGTTCTCATGCATGGGAGGCTTATGCCAATCCCCGAGGGAGCACCGGGTCTCTGCAGCTGGGATGAAGGCTGAGCACAACCCAGGGATGCCCAGGGCTGAGGGAGCTGCCCAAGCTCAGGGGCTGTGTGCTGAGATGCTGCAGCATGCCCGTGAGCTACCCACTTGGTGCAGAGCTCAGCCTTGCTGGGACCAGGGCTGATGGGTCCGGGCAAGGCCTGCCTGCTTGCTCAGCCCAGTGGTGTCTCAGGCTCTGACACATGGTGGTGTCAGCCAGGGAGACCCCCCACATCTTCCCACCCATACAGGCAATGTTCTCCTACACAGCACAAGCCCGTGGTCCAATCTGAGGCCAGCAGCCTGCCAGCACTGGAGCTTTCCTCCTCTGCCTGGTGAGGACAGACTGCTCGTCCAGCTAGCCTGAGGATCAGAGCTTGCTGCCAGCCCAGGGCATGTGCTTGTCTGGGAGGGGAGCACTGTTCCTCACATACCTGGAAGGACTTGATGAAGGTCCACAGGAGGGTTCTGACACCTTCCCCCCGGCTCAGCAGCTTCACTAGCCGCATCACCCGGAACAGTCGGAAGAAAGTGATGGAGACGCGGGAGTTGTCATCGGCGTCCTGCAGGCAGAGCACAACACTTGGAGGGCAGCTTGGAGGTGCTGATGCCTCCAGGCAGCAAGGGGGGGTCCAGGTCCTGGCAGGGGAAGGGTAATAAGATTCCCCTCCCCCTGCGGCAGCAGTAATGGTCCCCACAGCCCTTACCTGCACGGAGGACCAGACTGCAAAGGGGAAGTGCTGGCACTTTCCCTCCAGCCTTCCCAATGAGCTCATCTCCCCAGCCCCATTGTCTCACATCTCTGCCCCCCCGTCCCAGGCTGCTCGGGACACCTGTTTATGGGTATGAAAGCAATCCTGTTAGCTAGGGGGATGGGACACTGCAGGGGGAAAGGCATGCTGTAACGCAGGCTGGGAGAGCTGTGCTGTTCACCGCATGCCAGACAGGGCCACCCAAGGACAGGCTCAGGTCCCTCCAGGCTCTCGCCTAGCATGTACCATATGGGACTCTCCCACCTCGGGGCCTATTTGTAAGGTGAGCTGTGGGCCAGGCACCAGGCACACGGAGGGTTAATGATGGCTGCTTAAGCACAGAAAGGTTGGTTTGAGAATGTCCCAGCAGGGCTTTCATGGACCAAAGGACGGACTGAAGGCAGGATGGCTCTTGGGGGGTGCTGCCCAGTGCCACCCCTACCTGCAGTGATGCCTACTCTCTTGGGGTTGCTGCGGACCCCCCATTGGAGGGGCGAACAGGCATGTCCCAGGGCTGGGGACTTCTGGGTTTTGGGCAGAATGGGCGGGCAGGAGGGGAGCCAGCAGGCACAGCTCTTGGGCTCAAAGGGCCAGGTTTCTTCTGGGAGCACCTGGGCCATTGGCAGTTGGAGGTGGTGGGGGCTTGGTCACCTGCTCCCATGGTTGCTCCGGCACAGCACAGCCTCAGTCCCAGCCTCTGCTACAAGGAACCATGAGCAAACCCTCCTGGCCTCCACCAGGCACTGCCCATCCCGACTCCATCACCCCTCGGGATGCCTTTCCCACTGTCCCCTCGGCCTCCTGGGGCTTTACTGCTGCCACTGGATCCCCCTCAATCCCACCATCCAGCCCACCCGCTCCCAGCTATTTCAGGACAACAAAACCCAGCTGTAAACACCCCTCCCAGCAGCTCCAGCTTCCCCAGTCTGGCATTTCTGAGTTCCCAGGGCTGCACTGGAAAACACCATCTCCTCTCCCCACCCCTCTTTCTTTTGCCTTTCACTCTCCTAGTGCCTAGCACCTGCCCAGTGAGCATGGTGGTCAGGAACATCTCATCAGCTCCAGTGTACCATGTCTCCACCGCTGGGACCTGGGCAGTGCCCAGTGAAGGCCAGCTTGCCCTCCGCACTTCCCAGCACCAGGGCCCTGGGACCCCTGGGAAGAGGCTCCAGCGGGTGGGACCCTGAAGCCAGACCCTCCCCATTTTCAGAGCTCCTACGGGAGCTCCTACGGGCCAACCCAGGGCACCCCCACCCCACTGCATCCCCGTGGTGGTCTCAGCCACCAGCACAGGGCTTGGCCCACTCAGCCCCCAGCACATCAGGCCAGCAGCCACGGGCCACAGCCACCTCCCTGGGGGAAGGCACGGCGCAAGAGTCGCCCCTCTAACCATTTCTCTGGCTAACAGTGTCAGATCCTGCATTCGTGCAGGCAAATCCCTTCAGGCCTTACACAGACACGGTGATGGTCAGAGGAACCAAGGCCAACTGTCCTGCCCTCAACAGCCAGGGACACCTTTGCTAGATGCTCCATTCAGGTCAGATATCGCAGGGCAGGGCTGGGCCAGCAGACAGACCCAGATGGGGAACAGCCTGGCACATCTCAGGGTGGGAAGGGGTGTCTGTGTGTGGGGTATCTCGCCCCAAGTCCCTCTCAGCAAGGGGAGAGCTACACCCCAGAAAGAGCAGCTAGGTCTGGTGTGTGTCTTAATGACATGCAGGACACATGCAAACACCGGCCACAGGCACGCTGGCACGGCCGTGGGCAGCAAAGGGGAGAACAGTGCACCGCAAGCACATGCAGCTGATATTTACAATGCTATCACAGCCTCCGCTGAGGCAGTACAATCCGCCACTGGATGCAAGAACAGTCTGTCAAGAGAACAAGAGAGTCAGCAGAAATGAGGCAGGAATGAGAGGGAGGGAGGGATGCATGGATGGTTGCAGAAGAAGACACAGGCACAGAAGATGTGAACTGGGGACAAGAGGAGGAGCACAGAGGAAGGACAGGCAGAGACCTGCCATCACTCGGGCTCACAGACAAGGCGACGAGACTTTTGAGGGGCAGAGGCAGCACATGGATGGCCAGGGAAACACACTGATCATGAGGGACTTACCCACTTCTGTGTCCCATTGCATCTCACCTGCTGTGACACACACGTCTGGGGCAGGGGTGTGTGGGCCAGGAAATCTGGGCCAAAGCTCAGGACTGTGTAATTTTGCTGCCTCCTATGGACACACCCAGGTCAGGCCCAGGGCTGTGGCAGGTGGGATCTGGAGGCAAGTTGACCAGCTCAACCCAACCCACGGCTCTTCCCCAGCAAGCTGGGGTGCTCTCAGCATGACTGCTTGGACACCAAGACAAAGCCAGTGCAGGTTTGCTGGGAGCGAGCACTGAGAGTGGTAGTCCCATGTGTTGGTAGAAGGCAAACCACTGCCCAGCACCATTCACCCACTAACTGAGAGGCAAGAACATCGGCATGCACATCGGCACACGCAGGGCACACGCATTCACACGCAGAGGAGTGCTCACTCACACACACACACACACACAT